TTATGAGAAAATAATGGCATAAAATTCCCATTATTAACACGTTAATAACTTGTATTTTATATTCAAATGTTTCTTATTTTTGATTTTTATATAATTAATTAAGACCAATAAAATATTTTTGGTCTAGTAATTACATTTATTTAAGTATCATTTAAAGTCTTAACATTTACGTAACTCTGATTGGTCGAAGTTTTTAAATTTCAAATCTCTAACCAATCAGAATAAAAAAAATGAATTTATTTTTTACTTCTGTAATATAAGTAATTAACCTGGAAAATTTTTAATGAATAATCACAATAATTTAAAGGAATATTCTAATTATTATTTTTTAACTTTGAAATAGGATGTATAGAGAAGACTTTTATATAGATGTAATTGTATTTTTACTCCTTTGTTTTATATAAATATATATATTTTTTAATAAAATTTCGAATCGGATAGATCATTTATTTCCATTATATTTCGATCAATAAACGAAATATCTATACTTAAACATGATCTAAACTGGCTTAAATTTTAATCTCTATACTCTGCTAACCTGCTTACGTTCTTTTCTATTATATTTTTCTTTTCGGAATTTATTTTAATGCGTAAAAATCCCAACTCAAATCAATTTTTCTCTAACAAAAGATAACTTTCTACATTCTCGAAATTTATATATGCCTTACTTAATCTGCTTATCGAGTTTTAATCCAGTTTCAACATTCAATATCGATTTTTATAATTTATTTCCAAAAGAATATAAATTTAAATATATTTTTTTAAAATTTTATATCCTTAAAATGATAAATTTTTAACTAAATATTTATATATATATTTTTTACAATTTTTAATTTTCTAAAATCTAAATGATAAATTAATATTCTTCTATTTATTGGTCTGTTAATTAAGCATAAAGTTATGGATATTTAAACGTTAAATGTTTTTCTTAACGCTGATTGGTTAGATTTTTAAATTTTAAAATATATAACCAATCAGCGAGCGTAGAAAATTTAAATTTTATCTGTTCTATAAAAATGACTCGGAAGCAACTTTTTTAAGATTTATTTTAATTAAAATTTAATCATTTTTTTAAAGTAAATTGTTTAATAAACTTTATATCTTTTTACATAAAAGCCATTAATTAAAATTTAATGAGATCATTTGTGGTTTGCTAGAATAATTTTAAATTTTAAATTAGTAAACAATGCATAATCATAAAGTTTTTGGAGCGTATTTGCTGAAACATTTTGCTACTTCTTATGAGAAAATAATGGCATGGTTAAGGATAAAGATTTCCTCCCCCAAAAGCTTTTGTTACAGTTTTTGTTTATCAATCGTTATTCAAGCAAGACGAATAGACGGTGCGTGACTTATTCATTCTTTGAGTAGTCATGACAAAACTATTGATTGTATCGAACATAATGATCTTCACATTTCATTGAGCAATAAATGATAAAAGAAAGAAAGAAAATACTCCCCATTTTACTTTGTTGAATATAAGAGGGAAATTATGACGATCGGTCAAAAAATTACTCCAAGATTTTTACATTTTTGTACTCGGGGAACCTTAAAAAGACCAGAAAAGCCAAAAAAATTTTATGTTTTTTTCTATATGTATGAATGTTATTGTATGTGTGTGTGCGTATGGACAGGTGCACGATTTTGTTTGTCTATTTTAAAGCTTGATAACTCCGGTGCCTTTTATCGAAAATTTCTGAAATTTTACATTGAAGTTTGTGTATTCCAGAGAAATGTTTCTAGAAATTTTCAAGAAAATACCATTATTGGTTCGGGAGACATGGTCTCACCCCCATTCCCTTAATACCGACGTGAAGACTTAAAGGTAATGGTAGCCTTTATTAGGGATGAAAACAGATAAAGAATTGCCAGGAAAGTCCAGCAACAATGATGCAATGTTACCTCGTTTATATGATTATTTCCCTATAACACGAGGAACATTAGGCTATACGTAACAATGAAAAATAAATATATTTATCCTTTCCTAATTCTATTCCTAATTATTCAGTTTTTTATAATGAAAATAAATAAAATTTTAATAACATAGAATTACTTTTAACCTTTTTTTATTTCTTGGATCTATCGATTTTTCTGGAGGTGAAAACCTTTTTAGCTTTCGTTTCGTCTCATATAAAAAGATTAGATTAAAGATTAAAAAAGTAAATAAAGATTAATGGGAAAAAATATCTTCAATATTCTGAAATTCAATCAATATATTTCGAGTAGTCCTGCCTTTATTATTATTGTTTTCTTTTTTAATTGTAGAATCGCGTGATTATAATTTTACATACAATCTTTAGCGTGTTTGTTGGTCTGTAACGTAACAATTTCTAACACAATATACCTTTTAATGATGTTTTCTAAATCAAAATGAAATTGGATTTAGAAAATTAGGTGATTCTTTAAGTATTTTACTACTAACTCAATGCGTGTAGTGTTGTAAAATCAATTGTATACTTCATTTTTCTACCTACTTAACTCAATTTTTGAGTTAATAAAACTTGTCAACGGTAAATTTAGTTTTGTAAAATATAATTTAATTTAATTAACATGTTTATTAGGTAGATAATTATAAAGTTGTTAATGATACAGGTATCACACACGCCGCTGTTTGGGCCGCTTGTTGTTCCTACATCACTCAAGCCACCCCGTCCAAATTGAGATCCTCTGCCCAAGGAGTTCTACAGGGTATACATCATGGACTTGGAAAAGGGTGTGGAGCTATCATCGGCGGTCTTTTCGTTAATAGTTTTGGTTGGTTTTCCTTTTCATTCCATACAATTGCGATCGATATTAGTAAAAAATTTATTGTTCCACCCTTACAGGAACACGCGTGACGTTTCGTGGATACGGATTCGCATGTCTTATCGTATTATTTCTCTTTATTTTAATTAATTATTACCGGCGCGATAAGGGTTTTACTTCGTTTCAAGACGAGCACGAACCAGATACCATCCTAGAGGAAACTAGTCATCTGGCTCCTCATGGTGTACCCGCTAATCCAATGGCAAAATCATTATCCAGGCAGAATATGCAGGAAAAAAGCCAGGATATTTATGAATATCAGAGCACAGGAAATAGTCTCTCAGTACCTGGAGGTAATACTCTTTTAACCTTTTAGTGAAACTAATTGATTTTTAATTATAAATACTAAAGTATCTTGCAAGTTTCCTTTTTCTTCTTCTTTTTATAACGTAGCACTTAACATTAAATAATCACTTCTTATGACAATAAATTGCTATTTAAACTTAAATTTATACATTTTTAAAAAAAAATTTATATTCTGTAGATAAATTTCAGTAAAAGTAAATATTATTTCGTTAATGTTAAGTATCACAAAGAACAGACTCATTATCATTAACATAAATTATGATTATACAATGAAAACTTGTATGACAAATTAATTAAAAACATAAAGATGTAAATGCCATTTTAAGCACCATTTTCTTTACAAATGATAAAATGGATAAAAATAAAATCTCATTTATCAAATAAACTACGTTCATTTCAACTATTTAAGCCATGGTAATGAAATTAAATTCTTCATTAGCATCTCTCACTTAAACTCATCATTAACTTTGTAGTAATTAGATGCCATGTTCTAAGTTTCTTTATCTTTCTAAACAAATAAATAAATTAATTAATTAATTAAATTTTTATTGATTTATTGTCACACGAATATTCTATTAGCTTCTTTAAAGGGATAAAAATTTATATAACCGTGCAGTTTTTTTTTATGTATTTAAATTTTATTTTATAAATAGGATATTTTTCTAAATTATGTAATCAAGATATTTTGAGAACTTCCTCAGTTTGACTGATAATATCAAGTATAAGATGACATGCAATATGTCAAAACTTGGATAAGATGACAGGAAAAATCCTCTACTTTACTTCTAAGCTCTAGATTAAGAAGGAGGAGAATGTTCATCTATATAACATGAGAAAATGTTTTTTTTTATTATTATTATTCATATACAATAATTAATGCATAATAAATTATAATATTTAAACATTATTCAGATATATAAAAAAATTGTTTAACTTAAATTTAAAGTTTAAAAAATAACGTTTCCAGCACGAATTTCTTTTCATCATTTGTTTAAATTTACAAAAATAAATTTTTATTTCTCCTCTTTCCTATTGATTTTTTTTAATAAAAATTCTTTTATTTTCTTTTAAAAATATACATTTTTTTAAATTTTATTTTAACATTAAAATTTTGTTTTCTGTAGGTACTACATCAGCTCCTGCACCCACAAACAATGGAGGACAAGCAGGTAATCCATTTTTGGATTCTCAATATCACATAGTAAATCAAAATTATCAGGTAAGTAGCAAATTCTTACGTTAAATTATGTTCACAATTTCTTATATTACTTATAAAATAGAGAATTTTTATTATTATTATTATTATCTCAGAATTTACCTGAACAGGATACGCAATATGTAGTGACTTCAGTACCTCAACCGGATACACAACCCTACACTCCTCAACCTGATAACAGAAGAAATCAAACTGGTTACGATTGGTAGTTAAATTTAACTTATTTAAACATTAATTTGTATTTTAAAAAGAAAAAAAAATAATGTTTTTAATTAAGAAATAAGTTATATTCGTTGTTAAACGTGTAGACTTCATTGTGTTTATATGTAAATTCGAACCATTAATTTTAGTATATGCGAGCTTAAAAAAAAACTTTAGAATTTAGTAAATCTGTGGGCAAACTAATGTAATTTTGCTAAGAAGTAATGCTAAATATTCTATTTAGCACGAAAGAATTACGTATAATTATCTACAATCGTCATTAATCCAGGAGGAATGCATTAATCCGGTTAGATAATTTAAATTAAAAAAATAATAAAAATAAAGCAATTTTAGTAAATAATTTATGAGAAATATAATAAAATGGATGTTTTTTATTCTATAGAAGAACGGAAAATATATATATTATCACGTCTTACATCTGCAATTCCATTGGGAATCCTTATAAGTAATGATTTCATTAAGTACTGTTAGTGCTTCGCAAAAATAGTTTGCCTACCTCACTCCAGCACATTACACGTGCCTGATTTTTTTTTTCTTTCTTTTTATAATTTACTACTAGAATATATAAAAGAACATTCTATATATATACATATATTCATAAAAAGTGCCATTTACACTAGCTTTAGCCACTATTATTTTTTATATATCGAGCATTTTATAATAGCAAATTTCTATAGTAAACTTGAAGATGCCTTCAATTTGCGCACCTTGCACACATTTCTCTAACATAAAAACGTGTTAAAAATAATTAAATATAAATTAATTAAAGGAAAAAAAGAAAAAAAACATTAAAATATTATTAAATTCTTTTCTGTTGCTTCCATTTGTAAATATATTTTCCTCTCATTCTTGTTGATATTTATGAAAGTATTATTAAAAAATCATCAAAGTAAAGTATATTATACTGTATATACTTCAGAAGTATTACTTTAAATATATGTTTTAAAGCTAAGTAACTTAAGCTAACAAAAGGTTGGACCTAAATATTTAAGGTGCCAAGTATAAGAGAATTAGGTCCTTCTCTAATCTTCTATAGAGCAAAACATATCACAAATTAAATATTTTTGAACAATTAGTAGCTTTCTCGATAATAATATAAATATATTTAAGCCCGGATTCATGGTAAATTTAATTTCTTATAAACCATAATTAATGGTTCAGTATTTAGAAGCACAGAAGGAGGAATTTTTCGACTTCATCATACGCTATAAACTGTTGATGTGGCACATGGATAACTCACAAAATGATTGTATATTATTATTATTAAATATTTTTCCTCCAAAAGTACAGAAAATATTTAAAAAGTGACAAGTGAACGAGTAATTATTCTTGAAAAAAGGAATATAAAAACACTTCTTCATATCTGTGTAATCCAATTATTGTATAAGCTAATGTAGTTGTATAAAGGTATAAAATCATAATTAAATTATTGCTCATATATTAAAGTGTACAGTGAATTTTTATATACGTATATATATATATATATATATATATAATCCTTTCCCTTTCAATTTACAAAATTATATAAGAATTTTATTCAGAAAATGTTGTTGGAATTAAGTAATAAAAATTTTATGTTTCAACTCATATTTTATAGTTATTTTTTTCCCCTCATAGATAATACCGTATATATACGTAGAAAATAATAAATAAAGTTTTAAAATACCACAAAATAAAACGATAAACATGTATTTTAACACGATTCATATTTTACAAAACCTAAAAATAAATAAATAAATAAATACATTTAAAAAATTTCTGTTCATCTTAGAAGTAAAGTACATAAATTTCTTTGATATCAAATCTTGTTTTGACAGTAAAGAATGTGTTTATATAGAAGATACGAAAGAAAATTTCCATTCTTTTATATAAAAAGAAGAGAAATTTATATACTTTTTCGTCCTCGTTTCGTTATTTAAACCTGAAAAAAAATTCTGAATAAATTATTTAGTTTATCTTTAATAGTATTTAATTTGATTTTTACTTCAAGAAAAAAAATATACATTTACATAAAAATTATTTTAATTTTTTAACTATTTTAATGACATTTTATTCGTTTAAAGCTTATAGTCGAACCTCCAATAACGGATACCTCTAAACGGCGACCATTTCTTCAGGTATTCTTTATAAAATGAATACATAGTAACCCCCAAACGACGGTCAAGTTTTGTGTTTCCGTTGTTCAGAGGTTTGAATGTAATACTAAAACCTGTGTAAACCGGACACGCACTGTATCGAACATCTTTTTCCGTTTTGAACAGGTTCTACTGTATATATTTTTTAAACTAAAACTAATTAAGCAATTGATAGTGTTTCATTACATTAAACAGATTAAAGAGCATTTTCGTTAATATCTTAATTAAATTTATTCCTAAATTTAAATAATTTAATTTAATTTTTTTGTTATAAAATCGATTAATTGTGCTCATTCATAATAATAATTCCCTGATCTACAATAGCACGCTTATCTTGAAACATTAATTTAAAAAATCTTGTTTATTTATTTATTTATAAAATTTTAATTAAATTAATTAATTAAAATTAAAAAAACAATTAAATTATAATGAGCGAGATACAAAATAAGTTTTTATGTTAAATTTTTTTATTAGATTTATAAATTTTACTGGCATCTTTCTGTCTGTCTGTCCTTCCTTATTATCGAGAATGGAGTTAGGTAGATAAACGTTGAGGGCAGATATGGAAATCTTAAGGGCAGGTGGCCCGAATTAACTATATAGAAATTCAAATATTATTTCAATTCAAATATATTCTCCTGAACGGTGTTACTTAGATGACCAGCATGACTATATTGTTAACAGGAAAAGTATCATTTACAGGGGCACGCCACTACTAAAATTGAGAGCATTGATATCACAATGCTCTCAATTTTGCTCGTTACTTATTACGTTTCTTAAATTTGCTGTTGTTTATGTTCTTCATCATTATCTTCACCCATGTCCTGTATGAGGCCTCCATTCTATTAAGCCTCTGGGGGTATCTGGGTTCGAATTCGGACGGGTCGTTAAATTCCCAGGAATGGTTAATTTGGATATGTTGGACCCCATCCCTTACCATCCGGCTGCCCCATTGTGGGCCTGGCTGAAACCATAATAGGCCTACTAAAAGAGGCCCTCTTAGGGCAGAAAAAAATTTAAAAAAAAAAAACTCAAATTAATAGTGGCTTGCCCCTGTAAATCATACTTTTCCTTTAACAATAAAGTCGTGCCTGTCATCTATCGAACAGAAGTTATGAATTGAAATAACACAACTTTCGGTTTATATCGTAAGTGTATCTATAGTTAATTTGATATAGTTAATCGGGGTCTCCTGCCCTTAAGGTTTCCATATCTGGTCTCGTCTTTCATCTATCTAACTGTTTTTGAGATTAAGGAAAGATGGATGGATGGACAAACTGACAGATTGACAACAGTGGGACTTTATAGGTTAAANTATATATATATAAAAACAATTTTAATTTTAACCATGAAAAGAAATTATCTACAGACTTGCTGTGTGGTATAAGTCAAGACCTTAATGCGGTACAACGTCTATATTTGGGATTGGCATTTGGCCAGATTCGGTAAAAACCGAGAATTCTCTACATTTGTCACGTTACTGTACGATGGAGTTTGTTTGTACAGTATATTTTTTACCGTTTCTAGTGAATTTTGACAGTTTATCCATCCACTAGAGAGATTTTCTTCATCCAGTTATACTACTGTGCCACTGTAGTAATAAATTTTAAATGCAATTTCTCCTAGTTTTGTAAATTGAATTATTATTTTTACTACATTTTTTTTACTTATATATATATAGGCTATATAAAATCTCTTTTCACTTTACTCCGCCCGAAATTTAATACTGTGAATATTCTCACCTGGGCATTTATAAAGGATAAGAATAAATACAAATGTAGGGTATAAATTACTGTGGACAAAAAAGTAAATTGAAGAAATTACTCCACCCTCCTCCGCCCATAGTATAAACAAGTAAAAATTTATCATCTTGTATCTTATTAAGCGAGACATTGGTATTGATGTCTTTGAATAGAACAAATGATTTGGAAACTTTCCAAGAGTAATGCCGTTGTATTGATGATACTAGCCATCTACTTCGATTTTTCTCTTTTCTTTAATAATAACCCAATGAAAATATAATGTTATAAATTGATTGAGTGTAAAGAATACGATATCATTGGCTTATGGATATAAACACGATCTCTTCTACATTCGAATAACTTTGTAATATGTTGTAAGGTTATGAAATTTGTAGCAGGACATGAACATTTTCAAAATTGTAAGATCAATGACAGTGCTTTATCATGTATACACTTTAAGTATACATACAACTGTTGTTTTTCTACCATTTTGTTTTATATAAATATATATATTTTTTAATAAAATTTCGAATCGGATAGATCATTTATTTCCATTATATTTCGATCAATAAACGAAATATCTATACTTAAACATGATCTAAACTGGCTTAAATTTTAATCTCTATACTCTGCTAACCTGCTTACGTTCTTTTCTATTATATTTTTCTTTTCGGAATTTATTTTAATGCGTAAAAATCCCAACTCAAATCAATTTTTCTCTAACAAAAGATAACTTTCTACATTCTCGAAATTTATATATGCCTTACTTAATCTGCTTATCGAGTTTTAATCCAGTTTCAACATTCAATATCGATTTTTATAATTTATTTCCAAAAGAATATAAATTTAAATATATTTTTTTAAAATTTTATATCCTTAAAATGATAAATTTTTAACTAAATATTTATATATATATTTTTTACAATTTTTAATTTTCTAAAATCTAAATGATAAATTAATATTCTTCTATTTATTGGTCTGTTAATTAAGCATAAAGTTATGGATATTTAAACGTTAAATGTTTTTCTTAACGCTGATTGGTTAGATTTTTAAATTTTAAAATATATAACCAATCAGCGAGCGTAGAAAATTTAAATTTTATCTGTTCTATAAAAATGACTCGGAAGCAACTTTTTTAAGATTTATTTTAATTAAAATTTAATCATTTTTTTAAAGTAAATTGTTTAATAAACTTTATATCTTTTTACATAAAAGCCATTAATTAAAATTTAATGAGATCATTTGTGGTTTGCTAGAATAATTTTAAATTTTAAATTAGTAAACAATGCATAATCATAAAGTTTTTGGAGCGTATTTGCTGAAACATTTTGCTACTTCTTATGAGAAAATAATGGCATGGTTAAGGATAAAGATTTCCTCCCCCAAAAGCTTTTGTTACAGTTTTTGTTTATCAATCGTTATTCAAGCAAGACGAATAGACGGTGCGTGACTTATTCATTCTTTGAGTAGTCATGACAAAACTATTGATTGTATCGAACATAATGATCTTCACATTTCATTGAGCAATAAATGATAAAAGAAAGAAAGAAAATACTCCCCATTTTACTTTGTTGAATATAAGAGGGAAATTATGACGATCGGTCAAAAAATTACTCCAAGATTTTTACATTTTTGTACTCGGGGAACCTTAAAAAGACCAGAAAAGCCAAAAAAATTTTATGTTTTTTTCTATATGTATGAATGTTATTGTATGTGTGTGTGCGTATGGACAGGTGCACGATTTTGTTTGTCTATTTTAAAGCTTGATAACTCCGGTGCCTTTTATCGAAAATTTCTGAAATTTTACATTGAAGTTTGTGTATTCCAGAGAAATGTTTCTAGAAATTTTCAAGAAAATACCATTATTGGTTCGGGAGACATGGTCTCACCCCCATTCCCTTAATACCGACGTGAAGACTTAAAGGTAATGGTAGCCTTTATTAGGGATGAAAACAGATAAAGAATTGCCAGGAAAGTCCAGCAACAATGATGCAATGTTACCTCGTTTATATGATTATTTCCCTATAACACGAGGAACATTAGGCTATACGTAACAATGAAAAATAAATATATTTATCCTTTCCTAATTCTATTCCTAATTATTCAGTTTTTTATAATGAAAATAAATAAAATTTTAATAACATAGAATTACTTTTAACCTTTTTTTATTTCTTGGATCTATCGATTTTTCTGGAGGTGAAAACCTTTTTAGCTTTCGTTTCGTCTCATATAAAAAGATTAGATTAAAGATTAAAAAAGTAAATAAAGATTAATGGGAAAAAATATCTTCAATATTCTGAAATTCAATCAATATATTTCGAGTAGTCCTGCCTTTATTATTATTGTTTTCTTTTTTAATTGTAGAATCGCGTGATTATAATTTTACATACAATCTTTAGCGTGTTTGTTGGTCTGTAACGTAACAATTTCTAACACAATATACCTTTTAATGATGTTTTCTAAATCAAAATGAAATTGGATTTAGAAAATTAGGTGATTCTTTAAGTATTTTACTACTAACTCAATGCGTGTAGTGTTGTAAAATCAATTGTATACTTCATTTTTCTACCTACTTAACTCAATTTTTGAGTTAATAAAACTTGTCAACGGTAAATTTAGTTTTGTAAAATATAATTTAATTTAATTAACATGTTTATTAGGTAGATAATTATAAAGTTGTTAATGATACAGGTATCACACACGCCGCTGTTTGGGCCGCTTGTTGTTCCTACATCACTCAAGCCACCCCGTCCAAATTGAGATCCTCTGCCCAAGGAGTTCTACAGGGTATACATCATGGACTTGGAAAAGGGTGTGGAGCTATCATCGGCGGTCTTTTCGTTAATAGTTTTGGTTGGTTTTCCTTTTCATTCCATACAATTGCGATCGATATTAGTAAAAAATTTATTGTTCCACCCTTACAGGAACACGCGTGACGTTTCGTGGATACGGATTCGCATGTCTTATCGTATTATTTCTCTTTATTTTAATTAATTATTACCGGCGCGATAAGGGTTTTACTTCGTTTCAAGACGAGCACGAACCAGATACCATCCTAGAGGAAACTAGTCATCTGGCTCCTCATGGTGTACCCGCTAATCCAATGGCAAAATCATTATCCAGGCAGAATATGCAGGAAAAAAGCCAGGATATTTATGAATATCAGAGCACAGGAAATAGTCTCTCAGTACCTGGAGGTAATACTCTTTTAACCTTTTAGTGAAACTAATTGATTTTTAATTATAAATACTAAAGTATCTTGCAAGTTTCCTTTTTCTTCTTCTTTTTATAACGTAGCACTTAACATTAAATAATCACTTCTTATGACAATAAATTGCTATTTAAACTTAAATTTATACATTTTTAAAAAAAAATTTATATTCTGTAGATAAATTTCAGTAAAAGTAAATATTATTTCGTTAATGTTAAGTATCACAAAGAACAGACTCATTATCATTAACATAAATTATGATTATACAATGAAAACTTGTATGACAAATTAATTAAAAACATAAAGATGTAAATGCCATTTTAAGCACCATTTTCTTTACAAATGATAAAATGGATAAAAATAAAATCTCATTTATCAAATAAACTACGTTCATTTCAACTATTTAAGCCATGGTAATGAAATTAAATTCTTCATTAGCATCTCTCACTTAAACTCATCATTAACTTTGTAGTAATTAGATGCCATGTTCTAAGTTTCTTTATCTTTCTAAACAAATAAATAAATTAATTAATTAATTAAATTTTTATTGATTTATTGTCACACGAATATTCTATTAGCTTCTTTAAAGGGATAAAAATTTATATAACCGTGCAGTTTTTTTTTATGTATTTAAATTTTATTTTATAAATAGGATATTTTTCTAAATTATGTAATCAAGATATTTTGAGAACTTCCTCAGTTTGACTGATAATATCAAGTATAAGATGACATGCAATATGTCAAAACTTGGATAAGATGACAGGAAAAATCCTCTACTTTACTTCTAAGCTCTAGATTAAGAAGGAGGAGAATGTTCATCTATATAACATGAGAAAATGTTTTTTTTTATTATTATTATTCANACTCACAAAATGATTGTATATTATTATTATTAAATATTTTTCCTCCAAAAGTACAGAAAATATTTAAAAAGTGACAAGTGAACGAGTAATTATTCTTGAAAAAAGGAATATAAAAACACTTCTTCATATCTGTGTAATCCAATTATTGTATAAGCTAATGTAGTTGTATAAAGGTATAAAATCATAATTAAATTATTGCTCATATATTAAAGTGTACAGTGAATTTTTATATACGTATATATATATATATATATATATATAATCCTTTCCCTTTCAATTTACAAAATTATATAAGAATTTTATTCAGAAAATGTTGTTGGAATTAAGTAATAAAAATTTTATGTTTCAACTCATATTTTATAGTTATTTTTTTCCCCTCATAGATAATACCGTATATATACGTAGAAAATAATAAATAAAGTTTTAAAATACCACAAAATAAAACGATAAACATGTATTTTAACACGATTCATATTTTACAAAACCTAAAAATAAATAAATAAATAAATACATTTAAAAAATTTCTGTTCATCTTAGAAGTAAAGTACATAAATTTCTTTGATATCAAATCTTGTTTTGACAGTAAAGAATGTGTTTATATAGAAGATACGAAAGAAAATTTCCATTCTTTTATATAAAAAGAAGAGAAATTTATATACTTTTTCGTCCTCGTTTCGTTATTTAAACCTGAAAAAAAATTCTGAATAAATTATTTAGTTTATCTTTAATAGTATTTAATTTGATTTTTACTTCAAGAAAAAAAATATACATTTACATAAAAATTATTTTAATTTTTTAACTATTTTAATGACATTTTATTCGTTTAAAGCTTATAGTCGAACCTCCAATAACGGATACCTCTAAACGGCGACCATTTCTTCAGGTATTCTTTATAAAATGAATACATAGTAACCCCCAAACGACGGTCAAGTTTTGTGTTTCCGTTGTTCAGAGGTTTGAATGTAATACTAAAACCTGTGTAAACCGGACACGCACTGTATCGAACATCTTTTTCCGTTTTGAACAGGTTCTACTGTATATATTTTTTAAACTAAAACTAATTAAGCAATTGATAGTGTTTCATTACATTAAACAGATTAAAGAGCATTTTCGTTAATATCTTAATTAAATTTATTCCTAAATTTAAATAATTTAATTTAATTTTTTTGTTATAAAATCGATTAATTGTGCTCATTCATAATAATAATTCCCTGATCTACAATATTTGTATTTTAAAAAGAAAAAAAAATAATGTTTTTAATTAAGAAATAAGTTATATTCGTTGTTAAACGTGTAGACTTCATTGTGTTTATATGTAAATTCGAACCATTAATTTTAGTATATGCGAGCTTAAAAAAAAACTTTAGAATTTAGTAAATCTGTGGGCAAACTAATGTAATTTTGCTAAGAAGTAATGCTAAATATTGAGAATATTTCAAGATAAAAATCTAATTTATTAAGGAAGGAAGTTTTGAGTGTCATAGAAGAAAGATGGATCAAAGTGAAATGAAGAACGAACAGGAAGATGATGATAAGCAACCAAATACTTATCATCAAGAAAGAAATTTAAATGAGGATAAGAAACAATTTACAGGGAAAGGAGACGTCATCGATAATCTATTGACTGCAGTCAATCAAGATTTATTAGTGTCTAAACTGTTTTATTTCTTCTTCTTTTCTGCTTTCGGTTCTCTGTTTCCCCTTTTGGGTGTTTACTTTAAGCAATTAGGAATGAATCCCGAACAGAGCGGTATGTTAATTGGTTTCCGTCCTTTTGTAGAATTTCTCAGCGCTCCTCTATGGGGAAATGTTGCTGATAGGTTTCGTAAAGGTAAGACAATGTTACTCTTTTCCTTAGGCTGTTGGATTATTTTCACTCTGGCACTTAATTTTATCCAACCGCCCGCTTCTTCTTGCATGATGTCTAATGCTACACATAATGTTTATTACGAACCCGATGCTGAAAGGGATAAAAGAAGCATTGAAACATACAATGACTTATCAAATGTTTCCCTTCCAATTTTGTACGAAACTGAAAACGAAATAGATAAAAAATATGATCTAAATAGTAAAGATACTGTCGTACAAAATGGCAGCACTTACCAAATTCCATACGATCCCGAAGAAGAAAGAAATAAAAGAAACGTTGATGCTCAAATAAATATTCATAACAAACCTATAGATTTGTTAATCAGATATAAAAGAGTTGTGCGTGAGGCAAATGATCAACTTCCGGTACGTTTTGTAGTAGGGAAATCACCCCAAACTGTAGATTATACATCAAATGCTAACACTGATAAAGACAATTCGTACGTATCGCCACCTTTCAGCTCCATGGTATACAAGAGAGAAGATGTTCAAGAGGTGTTCTTCTTGCTCCTCCTCTTAATTGTACTCGGAGAATTTTTTAGTGCACCAGCAATTACATTAGCTGATTCTGCTACTTTATGTTTTTTGGGTGAAAATATAGATAATTATGGAAAACAAAGAATGTTCGGTTCATTAGGATGGGGATTAGCCATGTTTTTTGTTGGTATAGCCTTGGATCAATCTAAAGTGTTTCCATATCATCCATGCGAACCTCATGGACGTGAAAGGAACTATACTATTTGCTTCGCCACTTTTTCTGTGTTAATGGGCTGTGCCTTTATCTCTGCAACACAATTTCGATTTGATTACGAATCTGTAGAAGAAAATATACCCATGGGTGCTGTTAAAACCCAGATAGCAACAAACGAACCCATTAAAACTGAAGATGGAACAGCTCCAGCTAAAGTAAGACATCATTAAGTTTCAATGGAAAGTATTTACTTCGTGGTTTTAATTATTAAATTTTATTTCGTGTAGAGTGAAGTATTCGCTCAAACAACTCAGCATTTATCAGAATGGTTAGATGTTCTTCGCACTTTTGCAACAATACGTTACGCAGCTTTTCTATACGTAACATGGTTTATGGGTTTCGGAATTGGATTAGTTTTCACTTTTCTCTTTTGGCATCTTCAAGATTTAGGTGGTACACCTACACTTTTCGGTGTGGCATCCGTTATAAACCACGTATCCGAAATTTTCGCCTATTTTTTTAGTTTTAAATTCATAAAACAAATAGGACACACAAAGGTAATTTTTATACGTTATAAAAGTTGTTTATAATTTTAAAAAATTTATTTTCTAATATTTTTTTTCTCAGGTTCTATGCATTGGACTTTTCGGTAATATCTGCAGATTTCTTTACATTTCGTGGTTAACAGATCCGTGGTGGGTTCTACCATTTGAATTTATACAAGGTATAAACTGTAATAAATTTAAATTATTCAAAATTTAATAAAATTCTGCGGTATTTAATTATTGAAAATACTTTTTTATAATTCACAATTTAATCCTTTCAATGGTTTTTCATGCATTACTTTTTCTCCATGGAGTAACATAATTGGATAGAATCTGTCGTATCATCGATATTTTAACCAATCGTGTGTAGCCTCTTAAGATTTAAACAGAAATATAATTAAAAGAAAAAAACATTCAAATCAAATTAATGTTTTAAAAAAATCGTTTTTATACGAGTTCTAGGATTGGTTAAAGTATAAGAGAGAAGGCTCCATTGTGTGTGACCTTTACAGCTGTCCTAGTTTCCATAGCTATGAAAACTGTCACCTCACTAGAATCGAAGACGAAGTTGAAACCCTTGTTCCTACTTTTTTTTTCATTCGTTTTTCTTTACTTGAAGCATGGATCCATGATATATTTCGTTGTTACATATAGCTACACCATTGGGAAATCAGTACGCAAACATTAAGTGTCGTTAACGAAATTACCAGCAGTAAAACTATATTCTCAAATACGGCAATTTGTCAACATTAAGTTTACGTGTCTAATTTACAATTAAGTAAATCATTTCGTATGCAATTCGCATTAAAAACCCCCCCGTGATTTTTAAAAAATTTTTGTAAATAAAACAATATAAACTATGATAAATTTAAGTAATATTGACACTCTTATTTCCGTGCTTTGAATAATTCATTAAATATTTCTTTATTAATTGAAATTGCATTATTGCTCTACTAGTGTCGAAGCCGATAATTTACCACTGCATGAATATTAATATCCTACCAACAAGAGGTTCATAGTTAAGTACATTTATTATCCATAACGAGAATTTATTCCATGTGGAAAATTTATATTAAAAAATATAAAAATAAAAATTCTTCAAAAGATCGTTAATGGTAGTCGCTATTGGATGATGTGGTAAAAATCATCATCGATTTTTTTTTAAAAAAAAGAGTAAAATCGATAATTGTATAAATTTTTTAAATATTCAAGAATATTTTCGGTTTTTATTCTATAAAATATTAGATTTTTTTTATTATTATTTATTACAATACCAATTGTTACTACAGCAGTAATTGAGGAAAAAGGTAATTTTCATGTATAATGGGAAAAATGATTGAAGAGGAAATTAGAAATGGTCAATTGAGATAAGTTTTGTTGAAGATGAAGTTCTTTATTTTTATCATTTATCTGTAGTTTATTTTATTTTTTTCCTTTTATATCGCTGCATAAGATAATGGAGTAGGACTTGAATATTGATTTACTCTTTTCGCTCTGTTGGTACCTAGAAGGCCTTTTTTTTCAGGCCAATCGTGGGTTAAAATTGGCCTGATTGGTAGTAAGAGTCTAACATATACAAATAAAAACACTGAAAATTTCGTTATGTTTTTGCCCCCTCCTGGGCCTTTGAATATTGATGACATCTCATCTTTAATTTCTAATTTTTATTCCTCATTTTCCTTATTTTAATTTAAATTTTTATTATGAAAAAGTATTATAAACAAAATTTTATATTAAAAATTTGATATAATTTAAGAATTTTTATTATTATTGTTATTTTTTTTAAA